AACTGATGATGAATAAACAAAATGTGGTATATATCCATACAGTGGAATATTATTCAGCTATAAAAGGAAAGGAGTATATATTCATGCTACAATGTGGATGAACCTCAAAAACATTCTAAGTGAAAGAACGAGACACACAAGGTCATATATTTTAGGATTTCATTTATATGAAATGCCCAGAACAGGCAAATCCACAGGGAAAGAAAGCAGATTAGTGGTTGCCAGGGGATGAGGGAAAGGAAGAATGGGGAGTGACTGCTTAAAAGTTATGTTGTGATGAAATGTTTTGGAACTAGATAGAGGTGAGGTGGTAGTTACATAACATTGTGAATGTACTAAATGCCACAGAATTATACTACTTTAAATGCCTTATTTTATTAATCTGCATTTCATCTAGTTATTAAAACTTATTAAAACCCATCCTTTCTATCAAGGCCTAGAAGGCCCCACATGAGCTGACCTCTGCCTCTCTCTACCCTTATTTTTCACTCCTTTCCCCCTTGTTGAGTATGCCTCAAGCATTACTTGAACAATCTTACTTTTTTCTAAATCTTTGGTTTTGAGATTCCATTTTCCTGGGAACTCTTGCTGTTTTTCACATGTCCATTTAAGTGGTAATTATTTAGAGAGCACTTCCCTCACCATCCAATTAATGTTACTATTTCTATCATATAGCAGTTTTTGGTATCTGAAATTTATTTCTGCCTTCCCTCCACAAACTCCACTCCTGTAAATTCTGTGGGGGTAGGAAACTTGTATGTCTTATTTATCACAATTTTCAGAACTTAGAAGAGTGTCTGGAAAAGTAGGCTTACAACAATGTGAATGAACAAACTAATGAATATGGCAGTTTTAAGCAGGAATTTACTAAGTTCAAAGAGAACTAATGTGTCTGCTAAAATTTTTAAGTCCTTTATGGTGTCAGCATTTTCATTGTAATTGAAAAAGTATTAACCAGCCATTTGAACATCTATTATGAGATATGCACTGAGCTCAGGTCTAGATACAGAAATGAGTAATAAATGAACCCTTCCATGGTGTTACAGCTCTTTTAGAATATGTCTAGCAGGTTTTTCAGTTTTCACCAGAACGCCCAACTCAAAACAGAGATGAACTCCCTACTTAAAAATGAGGATATATGTGCTTTTGAAGTCATGCAGAATCATACTTATTTCCAGTTCATTGGACCCTTAGAGGAATCATATAGGCAAATCAAATATACATAGACTTCATTGTTAAGACAATGTATTTGTAATGGTTAGCTTTAGTTTTTCTATTTAAAATAAATAAAGGTGCATGAAGATATTCTGAATTGACATCTACAGAAGAACATTATTTTAGGAATACAGATGTGTTGAGTGAGAGCAATATGTTATACCATCTTGAATTTTAGATAATATACTTTTAGCTTATACTGTGATAGCAACAATTTTAAATAAAAGGAACTTGGAGGAGTGGAAGTCACATTAATGAAACACTTCGCTTTAATAACGATGAGGCTTTTTTTACCTACTTTGATGTATGTTTTGTACCAAACACAAAGACAATTGGGTTTATAATGAGTGTTGAAATTTGGAATAGATTTGAAGTTAAAAGGGTTTAAGCTTATTTAAAAACAATTTAGCTATTTGACTACTATGTAATTCATTTCTAAAATGTTCTATTATATGTTTATTTAAATTTTTTAAGTTCAGAGCAAGATCTAGCAAAGTTTGTCCTGAAGGGCTATACAGAAAATGTTGTAGGTTTTGTGGGCCAGAAGGCAAATTTCAGAGTATCATGTTAGTGCTTATTATAATCATTTCAATTGTAACCATTTAAATATATAAAAACCATTCTTAGCTTACTGGCTACTAAAAGGGCAGTGGTGGGGGGGCGAGTGGGGCTGGCTAGATTTGGTCTGTGGGCTGTAGTTTGCAGACTTCAAGTTCAGAAGGGAAATCTTATAGATCAGAACTCTCTGTTCTTATAAAATTTTTCCTTAGTTTATCTTACTGTTTCACAGAAATAGTAATTTAAATCAATTTTGCATAGCAGAGGCTAATGAGTATATTTATTAATATAGCTAAAATTATTGTTCTATTTTAAGCATATTAAAAATAAATGATCATGGTAGCTAATGACTTAAATTTCTTACCTGGATTGTAATCTAACACCCTGGTGTAGGTTTACTGCATGTCCTCAACCAAATAGAGCTGTAAGGTGGTAACTGTCCCAGAAGTACACATGGAAAAGGACATGGAAGAGAAGAAATTTTACATTAGTATAGCTAGGCAGAAACCTAAATACTAAATTGTAGCTACAGCCATTACTATAGTGATCTCATTGCCACCAAATCGTAGTATCATGGATGGCCAACACCAACTTAAAAGGCCAGTAGATCCTTTAAATGAATAATAGATGGAGTGGTTTTCATATAGCATTTAATTCAACATGAAATTTGTAGTCTACAGTGACAAATTCTGCCAACTCTGAGCTCAGTGCTTAGTGTGGAGCTTCACAGTTGCTGGGGTTCTTTAACCATTCTGTTATCACCTATTAACAGTTAAACCAGATACAGTTAGTGTATAAGTTTCTTATCTAATTAAAACTTAAAGTATGGAAGAACCATATATGCTATGAATAAACAAGTAGAATTTTGAGCAAAATACCAGCAAATAGTATCAACAAACAAATCTAACTTGGAATGTAAATATTGAAGCAAGATGATAGGTGGTTCTGGAGATGTGCTTTCTGCCACATCAGGTGTCACCATTATAATTAAGAAGTAGGCTGTCTGGAAAGCAGAGAATGGACTGGTGGTGTAGACCAGTCTTTTAGGGAACACACCTGAATTGTTGTAATATATTCAGTATATGTATTTTTGAGAAGGGATAATAAACTGCATTTAGAAAGGAATAATACACATATATAACATGTTTGCAACTTGAAACATTAAATTATTGCCATATATACCATATATCCAGATTTCTTTCCTCCCATTGCTTATTAAGAAAACTGAATTTTTAGAATTTCCCCATTTATATATTTAAGATTTACAGTTGAGATTAAAAACTTTGAAAAGGTTTTTAAAGTTTTTATTACTTTAAAAATACTGCTCTATTTTCATAGAACTATGGAACTGCTAACCAGTACTTTGTTGTTCATTCTAACGTTTTTTGAATATGAACTAGTAGTATGTTCCTAGTATCATCACTGTAAATAAATTTGCAGATAAATAAGCAAATGGGATTTATAGAAATCTACTGTTTGAAAATAATATATTCAGTTTCATATGTTCATTTGCTTACAAATATCTTCTGAGATGTTTTCATATGAAAAATGGAGAAAAAGGTCTCTGGAAAAAACTAGACAAATGAGTATTGGAAGCAGATAGTAATAGCAGTTTTAATAGTACAGCTAGGATTTTGCATTTCTGAGCTTGAGTTTGTTGAAGGACTGTAGATACACAGCTAAAAACTTTGACTTTACTTCCAATGTATAATAAAATGTAGGCCTGTAATTACCATATCTTTCCACAAGGTGGATATTTTGATGTTAGGTTCTCCCCCCACCCCCCGCCCCCACCACCTTTTCAATTGTCAGAAAATTACTTAGGTGATATGATTTCAAAGTCTCTTTATTTTTATATTTTTTGAGACAGGGTCTTGCTCTGTTGTCCTGGTTGGGGTGCGGTGGGGGCCAAGGTGGTTTCTAAACAGTAGCACTTTTTCCTTCTCTTTGTTTCTTAGTAAGTATATTAATATTTCTATGTGAGGGAAATTGAAAGCTTAGGTTTGCATAATTTGGGCTCCCATTAATATTTTAAATTGAATATTAAATACAGAGCTTCTAATATGTTGCTTAAAATAGAAAAAAGGTAAAGTTTTTGGTAGTTGGTTGGCTACAAATAATGGGTTATGAACAACATAATGTGTATGTGTGTGTATATACATATATAATATATATACATCTTAAATCCTTTAAATTTAACTGACTTCTAATTAGAAAGGATTTAGATACATTTCACAAATGAAGAAATTGAGGCTCAGAGAAGTCAACTGATTCACAGAAGGTTACAGAGCAACTAAGAGGTAGAGCTGGAATTTTTCTACCATAACAATTTATTTAAAAAAAAAACTATAATTCAATAAATAGTGTGTTTTGCTAGTCTCTAGGACTGATCATAAGTCACTTTGGACAAAGTGCTAACATAAAGACTCAGTAGTTTCTGTGGGCATCTGACCCAGTAGCAGTCTTAAGTAGAAAAGGAAAGATAGTGGAAGTCAATGAGGTAGCATGTGTGGCAAGAAGGCACAGAGGACACTCAGTTGCTCCAGGTGCTACCTTATAACCCTATCATCAGTAGCTAACATTTATTGGATTTCCAGAATGTCCTCAGCACTGTGCCAGCACTTTACTTTCTCTTATTTAGATACTACAGCAATGTTGTGTGCGAGAGATACGACCATCCTATAGAGAAAATAAGTAACTTGCTGAATAGCACAGAGCTTGGATTTGTGCACAAGTTCTGCAAGCTCTGAAAGTCATGCTCCAAGTTACTGTGCTTCCTGCCTCACCAGTATACCAGGAGGGAAGGCTCATCTCTGTAAGGACACTTATTTGAAAGCCAATTAAAAATATTTTTCAGGGAACATTTATTGTTTGTTTCCCCCTTTGTGCCGGGGTAAATTTCCTTTCTTTATAATCTCTCCTTCATCTAAAACTTTGTCTAACAACGTTTGCAGAGGTGAGCTTAAAAATACTCTTAAAGAGGGATACTTTTCATTTTGATAGAAGTTTTCAACAAATTATTGCTTATTTCTTGGTTAAATGCACTCATTTTGATTTTCTAAGGCACAAACCACATATATAAACAAAATTTACCAAACACATAGAAAGTTGGAATTCTCATTCATGTGTTTGGATTCTGATGGCTCAAAAGTAAAAATTGACTTGTTTCACAGATCCCTGTTCTAAAGTACCACTCATCCCAACCCCAAGAAAATGTAAAGCCTGGGTTAATTTCCTGCAATAAGTAGTCATTTAATTAAAGAACAAAATTAACAGGAATCAAAATGTTGCAGCTGTATTTTTTGTTAGACATTATATAAAAAAGGAAAAGTATAATACAGTAAATCATTTTGTATAACATGAACTTAAAGAGTTTTCAAATTAATAATGATCAGGATAAAAATGTCTTTTAAACATAATACTGAATGACATTGTCACATGTCCCTCATGTCAGAGGCCTGGGAGTGGTGAGCCTGCACATGCACGTTGCCCGTCCTCCATTACACTGCAGAACTGTAAAACAAGGTTGAAAGGCAAACAACAGTTTTCTTCTGATAGAGTTATGTTGGGTCTTAACTGACCCCAACAGTTCACACTCCTCAGACACCAAAGAAGGAAGGAAGTGTGTCCTCTGGTTACTCCTCTTGCAGGTAAGTGTGGTCAAGATTGCACCTGTGTGTGTGATCCTGCTTTTCTCACAAACACAGCAGGTAGTCTTGAGCTGAACTTCAGGAAAGTTCCCTGATGAATGTTCAGTGTTGGTATCAAAAAATTAAACACAAATTCTTCTCAGAAGAAAATCTCTATGGCCTGTGGAATCTAGATATTATAAAAAAGACAAAGAATTTAAGGTTATACATTTCTAGCAGTTAAAATAGCCAAAAACCTTCTACAAAGTTTTTGCTGCTATTTGCTACAAGGTTAAATTTGCTGCTATTAAAAAGCTTCTCAGAAGTCCCATATGTAAAACATGAGGATGGAGCTACTCTAGTTAAAATAGGATAGAGTCTCAGAGGGCTCCCTACTCTAAGGCCCCTATTATATGCTGAATTCTTAGGACTACCTAGAACTTAGTTTTAAAACAGTGAGGTAAGCCCTTGAAGTACACAGAAAGGCCAGGGCTTTGCTAAATCAGTAGAAATAATGAATTTGTTAATAAATTATTGGAAATTATGGTAGAGTTATGACTTTTTATAGAGTATTATGTTCATAGTAATTTTAAAACACTTAAAATCTCATAACTAAAAATACTGTTCTGACTCTTAAATTCATATGAATTGTTAAAATGTGGTATAAAGATCTTAAAATTATTTCCTTATGTTCAAGTATTAGAGTCATTATTAGAAAGTTATCAACTTAGGACAATAAACATCTTTACTAAACATTTTAATGTATAATCAGAAAATGTACAAAATTGAGATTATGATATATAGAATATGTAGCCATTCTGTTTAAGACAGAATGAGCATTAAATGTAATTGTTCATTATTTACTGGAACTGTCTTTCCTAAACATTCATATGACCTATTCCTCCCCAAAAGTATGTTAGTCATGGGAGGTAACCTTAAAAAAACAAACTATTTGCTTAATTTTCTCCTATTCATCCAACTTTCCCTTCCTCCTTGATACATTCACCCCAAAACCATGGGTTAAGATGGAATTCCATTTACTTAGTTTCTATTCTATAGCCATATTAATCTTAGAGTAAATCTTTCAGATAACAATTGCAGTGACCACTTTGTAACAAACAGAAAACTAAAACTATTATTTTAGTTTAAGGCAGTATCTACATGCAGGATTTCCTTTCTCTTTGTATGTGGGCCTTGAGCATGAGCATCTTCAGATAAAAGGAGAGAGAACAAAGCAACTGATTCAGTTGAAGGCTTGTTGCATCACAGTCATCTGCTTTAGAATTAGAGATATCTGAGGACTTCACATAATTACTACTGGTCATGGCCATAGAAAAGAAGTGGGGGAAAATACTGAAAGAATATTCAGTAAGTAAAGAGAGTTAAATCTTTTCCCAACTTTGTCATCACCAAGAAGCCCAGTGTCATCCCTTGCATATGGTAGCATAGACAGAGAATATATTCGTCTTAATAGGAAAAGTCTTGATTATGGAAGAATCAGCCAATATATTCCCAATGGAACATAAACTCCATGAAGATGGGAGCCTCCTTTATCATATTCACTGTTGCATTCTCAGCACTTACTCAAATATTTGCTGAGGAAACAAATACTCAGCTTTAGGAGAACACTGGCTGTGTTAAAGATGTGACTAATAATTTAAGATAGGAAAAAGTAAATGTGAGGGTGGGGAGTGACTAATTTCACAGCAATTTATAAGTGTAAATAGTTCTATAAATTGGAGGAATTCTGAATATTAGGGGGAATTAAATACACAGAAAAATTACTTTCATTGCCTTGAGGCTTATTTTTGTTAAATATGCATTAACTACTTAAATAAACCAATATTATTACCATACATATCACCTTTCACCAAGTCCTAAAGGAAATAATGGGAGCAGGCAGTATTCTTAATTGAAGTACATTCTGTTTGTTCAATACAGTTCTCTGGAAAAATGCTGAATTTGTATAGCCGGATACATGGTTTGTGGTAGCAGGGTGGTGTGTGTTTCAAAAATAAGTACCATGAAATTCATACAAACAAATCTGACCTTGTCAAGTGCTTGCTTGATGCATGTACCTCCATTTCATTACTTTTGTACTCATTTAATTCTTTACGAATTGCTGCCTGAAATTTAAAAACAAGACATTGTTTTTCAGGATATTAAAAAATTGGGAAATTAGCATCATGTTTATAAATTAACCATTCCTAATACTTGTTGATTATGTAATACACAGAAAAAAATAAACAATTTTTGGTTCATCATTAAAACTGCCATACTCATTATTATAGTCCTACCAAGCTAGTATGTAGCTAATATTCTGGAAGTCTTTGTAAAACATTTTATTGATACATAATATTTGTATGTATATACAGGGTACATGTGATATGTTATATGCATAGACTACGTAACGTGATGATCAAGTATTTGGGATGTCCATCACCTCAAGTATTTATCATTTCTATGTGTTGGGAACATTTCAAGTCCTCTCTTCTAGCTGTTTTGAAATATACACAACATCGTTGTTAACTATATTCACCCTACTCTGCTATAGAACATCAGAACTTACTCCTTCTATCTAACTGTATGTTACTACCCATTAACCAACCTCTCTCTCCCCAAACCCTGCCACCCTTCCCAGGCTTTGGTGTCTATCATTCTACTGTCTACCTCCATTACATCAACTTTTTTGATCCCACATGAGTGAGAACATGCGATGTTTGTTTTTCTGTGCCTGGCTTATTTCATTTAACATAATAACATCCAGTTCCATACATGTTGTCAAAAATGACTGGATTTTCTTAAGGTGGAATATCCATTTTGTGTGTATGCACTGTATTCACATATGCATATATACACGCATTACATTTTCCACTCTATTGATGGACACTTAGATAATCTTGGCTATTGTTAATGCTGCAGTGAACAGGGGAGTGCAGCTATCTCTTCAATGTACTGATTTGATTTCCTTTGGCTCTATACCTAGAAGTGGCATTGCTGGATCATATAGTAGTTTTAAAAAAATATTTTGAGGAGTCTCCATACTGTTTTCCATTAATGGCTGCATTAATTTACATCCCTATCAACAGTATATAAAAGTTCACTTTTCTTCTAATCCTTTCCAGCATTTTTTTTTAATAACTATTCTATCTGGAATAAGATGATATCTCATTGTAGTTTTGATTTGCATTTCCCTGTTGATTAATGATGTTGAGCATTTTTTCATATACCTGTTGGCAATTTGTATGTCATCTTTTGAGAAATGTCTATTCATGTCCTTTGTCTACTTTCTAATGGGATTTTTTTTTTTTTTACTGTTATTCGAGTTCCTTGTATATTCTGGATATTAGTCCCTTGTTGGATGAATAGTTTATAGATATTAATATTTTCTTATATTCCCTGTTGTCTCTTTACTCTGTTGATTTGTTGTGTAGAAGCTTTATAGTTTAATATAGTCTCATTTGTTTATTTTTGTTATCTGTGCTTTTGAGGTCTTAGCCATAAAATGTTTGCCTAGACCAATGTCGTGGACTGTTTGTTCTGTGTTTTCTTTTAGTGGTTTTATAGTTTTTGGGTCTTACATTTAAGTCTTTGTTCTTCAAGTTGATTTTTGTATATAGTAAGAAATAGGGGTGCAGTTTCATTCTTTTGCCATATGGATATCCAATTCTCCCAACACCATTTATTGAAGAGTGTCCTTTCCCCAGTTTATGTTCTTGGCACCTTTGTCAAAAATCAATTGGCTGTAAACATGTGAATTTTTTTCTGGGTTTTCTATTTTCCATTGGTCTATGTGTCTTTTATACCAATAACTGTGCTGGTAGTATAACCTTATACTATATTTTGAAGTTAGTGTGATGCCTCCAGCTTTGTTCTTTTTGTTAAGGATTACTTTGGCCATTCAGGTTTTTTTTTGGGTTTCACATGAATTTTAGGATGGCTTTTACTATTGTTGTGAAAAATGACATTGGTATTTTAATAGCGATTGCATTGAGTCTATAGATTGCTTTGGGCAGTATGGTCATTTTAGCAGTATTAGTCCTTTCTATCCACAAGCATTAGATGTCTTTCCATTTATGTGTGGCCTCTTCAATTTCTTTCATTATTGTTTTGTAGTTTTCCTTGTACAGATCTTTCACTTCCTTGGTTAAATTCATTTCCAGGTATTTTTGACACCTATTTTAAATAAGATTGCCTTCTTGATTTCTTTCTCAGCTAGTCCATTATTAGTTTATAGAAATACTACTAATTTTTATATCCTACAACTTCAGTGAATTTATCAGATCTAAGTTTTTTGGTGGAGTCTTTAGGTTTCTCTAGGTATAAGATCATATTGTCTGTAACGAGAGATAACTTGACTTCCTCTTTTCCAGTTTGGATGCCCTTTCTGTTGCTCGATTGCTCTGGCTAGGACTAGTATTATGTGAGTCTTCCATGAATTAATTTGCTGGACTGAAGTGGGAAGACAATCCTTCCCCCAACCCCACTCACTCCATACCTAAACGGACCAAGCACATGCTTAGGGCACTAATGAAACAGGAACACCAAGATAATGAGTAAACTGCAGCTTTCAGTGAACTTGGAATTTTATAATCAGAGATAATCTAGAAATAAGCCTTTCTAACTTCAGCATATATTAATATTTTGGCTTCCCCAGGCCCACTTGCATCATGTACTTCTTTCTCAGATAAACACTCGAGGGACCCAATGAGACTAAAACATCAAACATAGCCTCTGGGACAAGGAAAGTCTTTAAGAACTTTAGGGGTATATTATTCTCATACTCAAACACATCTGCAGACTACCAAAGATACTTCTCTTTGTATCATTGTGATCCTCTGAGCACATCAATCACAAAGAACTAGGCAAGTTAGTCCAACATGTTCTCATTTCTCCAAGTTGATGCAATATCTATGTACATATTCATACTCGGCATATGAAGAATGAAGAACAATTAGCAAATTTCTTTGCCTGAATGTGTAATTTTTCTCTTCCTAAAGGCTTTAAGTCTTCTGAAAATTAATAGAAGCAAGAAGGTAACAAAAAGACTCTATAGACATTCGTGGGCTTAAATCTTGCCAGTCAAGTGTTTGATCACAGACAAGAACTTACCCTCTCTGTGCTCAGCAAATGTCAGGCAGAGACTCTATAACCTGCTTCCTCCTTCTCTAACCGTTCAGACTCCTCAGGAGGTTCTCAGAGATATTTCAAACTGCACAAGTCCAGGGAGAGAATCTAGAACCTCTTCTATACTGTAGAGGCTTTCTTGAATTCCTCTTTATCCCCACTGTAGCTCTTCTTGTTTAAACTTGTCAGTTGATCTCTTATGGCAGCCTTGCCCACCTTTGATTTATCCCTTATACCAAGGTTTCTCAATTTCCACAGTCTTGACATTTGGGACTAGAAAATCCTTTGTTGTGGGACCTGTTATGTGCATTGTGAGATGCTTAGCAGCATCCCTGGCCTCTACCAGTAACATCCCGAGTTGTGACAATCAAAAATGTCTCTAGACATTGCCAAATGTCCCTCGGGGCAAAACTGTCCCCTAGCTGAGAACCATTTCTCAATCTGACCCTGAATTGTCTTTGAGAAACCAATATTTACTGCAGGTATACCCTTAATTTAAATAGTTGAGGACTCCCATTGTCTATGAATAAACTCCCTGGCATGACATATTTTGCCCTTATTATAACACCCCCCACCAGCACAGGCAGTTATGTACCTTATCTGCTGCTGACAGTCTCGTCCAGGGTTTGTCTGCCCTCCTGTCATAGTCCTGCGCTTTTGCTACTTCCACGTAATCACTGAATCGTATCAGAATTTTTCTGTCTCTTAATTCATCAACGGTGGGTCTCTGATTAAGCTAAAATCAAAGATCATCATAGTTAAGTATCACATGCCAAACTAGCTTTTTTGAAGCACTCTGAACAAACAGCACCTTTCTAAAAAAAATAAAAATAAAACTGAAACTGTGATATATAACCTGAATACAAGCAATCTCTAATGTGACGGGCTTAAATTAAATACTCTACCCTTAAGTCACAATCCCCCTTCCTCCAAAATATTTTATCAGAAGGAGTCACACCCCCAGTAGTACATAGCACCAGCTCAAGGAATAGTTAGTGATTTAACTTAGAGTTGATGGCATCAATGGCTTCAGGTACAATTAGATAAGCTTTTTCAAAGTGCTAATAAAGTTATTATATGTCCAGCTTAAGAAGGATATTCTGTTAATTTCAAGAGAATTATTATGGAGCAGCACAACAAAGAAGGGGAATCCAGAACACTTGAATTTAGAAATGGTCAGGGCTTTAAAAGTAGATTAAGGTATAGAGTTGCTACCTGTATTGGCCCTAGTAAATGTTAACTATTTGAGTCACAGATAAGCTTTCTGCAACTGAGGAACTTGTAGACATATTGGAGGTGAACAAAAGCGATGAGTGCAAAATGTAACTAAAACACTGATACCCAGGTATGCTTTTCCTAGACACTGTAAATTAAGAAAATGCCAATCAACTTCTGGCTTCCACCTGAACATAAGTAAAAAATGTCATGTGCGTTGTGCACCTCTCCAAGTGCTACTGTGCTGGGGAAGGACTTCGTCCATAGGGAATGTCAGAGGGAGTTAATTCATTGTTGTTGAGCAAATATCCTGATTTAACTGATGCCATGTTGTCCAGGAAAACATTATTCATGATCACAGAGTGATACCTAGATTACTCATCCCACCTGCTACCGAAGCAGCTGTTCTCTAGACCACCTTTATTATTCAGGCAATAAAATGCTTATAGTACCTTTCTTGTCAATCTTTGCTTGATTTCTCTTCTTTCTTCCTGCTCTGTCTGATCATTCCTTTCTGTGAAAGATTAAAATAGGGAAAAAAATGACAAAGAGAAACAGGTTGAAACGTTCTTCTCTTTAGCAGGAAGGTGTACCCAAGATATCCGTATTTCTGGGAGCTGAAGGTAAGATATTAAAGAGATCTTTTTCCACATCACTCTTTGTGGGGTTTTTTTCCCCACTTTGTCAATCACTGTTCAGGAGATCATGGTCTCATCACAGAAATACTTGTACTAAGCGAAGCTTTGCTGTCATCCCAACCTGGTCTCCTCAGCCCTTCTGTGCATTAGAAACAACCACAGATATGGCTGCTGTTTAAGGAAGTAGACATCTCTGTGTCTGTCTTTCTCACTGATTTTCTTTCTCCCCAAATATCTTTATATTTACATCTAGCACTTAGATGCCACATTAAAAATATCTGTAGTAGACTAAATAAATGTGTATGTACATTTCAATATAAATAGCACTGCCACTACTTTTTTTTTTTCCTTAATAAGCATACAGACTTTTTAACCAACATAAAACATGGAACACCTTCTTCAGCTCCTGGGCAGCATATGCTTGCCTGAAATTTATATGTTCAGACTATATTTCAAATCTTAACATATCTATGAACCTAGCTGACTCTCTATTGCTGAAGCGTGAACACTGTTATATGACAGTGCCTTGTAAAGGAGCCCAAGTCCCTCAGCAAAATTAGCTTTGCTTGGTAAGTTGTGACTATTAACATTCAAGCTGTGCTCTCACCTATACTTGGAAGCTAAAAATAGACCAAAGTGCTGAGATATAGTACAAAATGTAAGTGTCCCCCTGGGATACAAGATAATGGCTGTCCTATTTCTGGTGTTCTGCGTTGCTAAATAAAGCCTTAGGTCCCTGACCTGAACATAGCTCCATTCCTAGGAAAGAGATTTCAACAATCAGCATTCCTAGAAACACTGCTAGGTTTTAGTAAGGGAAATCCTGCCACTGGCAGTTAACACAATTTCACATTATCTGCCTTTATTTAAAAGATGCATTTCAAATATTTATACCTTTGTGGGATTGGTTATATGAGAGTTTAATATACTGTGCTTTCCAGTAATTTTTTTAAGTGAGTCATCTTGGACTAGGGTGTTTTAGAAAAGGTAATTAAATCCTATTTGTGCTTAATTCTTTATACAAGTGAGAAACCAGAAGAAACCATACTTTTAAGGTATCATCAGAAAGCTGATACAATTAGAGAAACGTTGTGAAAGTGTCCAGATAAGGCCAGCCATGAGGGATTTACGTGACATAAAATTTTTCAGATTTCTTTAAAATAGGCCATGGGCAACTCCCATGTGAAAAGATTGAAACAAGTCAGATCTTTGTTTTTTTTTTTTTTTTTTTTAAATCTTGAAAAATGTCATCATTACTACGAAGGTCACTAGCAGGGTCTTCGGAGAATTGATCTTTGAAAGTTCCTGTCAGAGTGCTTCTTCGTGCCAGGCGCTCTGTTGGATACTTCCTCCAAGAAGTCCTCCCTGTTAGTCTAAGCCCACAGACCTCCCCTTCTCAGCTCCCCTTAGTGATACGTTTGTGGATCTCATTTCCAGACCCAGAAAATCCCGTGCATTATACAAAGCAAGGGACCCATAATCAGGACTGCTACACCTGTATTTTCTGGAAATAGCTCCAGCAGCTTGGACAGTTATACATGAGTCTTCCATGAATGTCCAAAACGTATTACTGCTTCTGATGCAGTAGTTAAGAAAATGGGCAGTGGAGTTAGGCAGACCTGGGGTTGAACTCTAGTGCTATCCTTGTTCCAATATTCATTTGTTAAAAAGTGCAGACCTCACAAATATGTTGCAGTGATTAAATGAGGGAATATATACCAAGTACTGAATACAGTCCATGGCACAGACTGGGCCTAATAAAGAATTACCATCAGCATAGAAAGGGGCCACTGCTCTCCTGCTTTTCTATCCATGTTATAGTGTTACATGGGCAGAGTTTTGAGAGCTCCTCAGATATAATTGCAATTAGTCATGAGTTCCCCCTTGAAGCAAACACAAAAGTAATATTCTAAGGATTGATTACAAGAAGAAAATGCAATATAGTATAAGTGCTTGAAGTCCTGTGTATCAAGAGCCTATGAGTATGATGTTAGGCTATATATAGTTACCCTATTCTCATCTCCACAGAACAAAAGAAAAACCAAACACCCACCACAAACCTAGCAGTAAAAGTCTCAGGTCCTCCCACTCAGGACACCAGAGAGGGCTTCCAAGCTAAGGACAAACCTACATCCACTAATGAAGGCACAGTGTTTATGGCGGGATTGCCATGGCCACCGCAGAGGAAACTCATTTTCCCTTCTGTGCACTGAAGGTCAGTGCAGTCAGTTTCAGTTATGCACTTGTTAGCTCCCTGTCACCAAAGACAGTTCTATTTCTAAGGCTCTGATATTTATTTCCAAAGAATAACACAATTAGAAGCACTTGCTGGTGGGAAGACCTAGGAAGGAAGAGGCTGCTACTGAAAGAAGACATGGTTCCTGGGTTAAAAGTCTGGGCTGTAGTACTCTTCCTGTTCCAAGGCTACTTGGAATGTGGTGCTTCCTGTGTCTTGAACTTGCCTGGTTCAAGTCTGGACTGCTACTTTTAGTAGCATCTGCAACTTACAAGCTTTACAAATAAGTGACTTAATTTTTAAAACTTCAAATATTTGGCAACTGAAACAGCTTGACTTTTCTGTCTACCTACTTAATTAAGCATGTTATCAATGAAAAGCTTTTCTTTAAATCCTCAGAGATGGTATAGTTAACACAGAACTGTAGTCACTATATCTTAAGTTTAAAAAGTCAAATGAAGAAGTCTTTATCTGAGGGTTATTTTCAACAATCTATAAAGAAGGGGATTGTTTTAGGCAGTTAATGAAGGCATTGAGGCAAAGAAAGGAGAGAGGAATCAATTCAAGTTCAGTACCCAGACCAACAAGGGGCTCTGCGGTATTTTCTGACAGAAAGTCAGCTTGGTACCATCATAACTTCGTAAAAAGAAAACAAACTCAGAGAAAGTCTGCAGTATTCATCACATAAAGAGAAAAAAAAGTCCTGTAAAAATCCAAGCCATTAGAAGATACTTTCTGTAGAAAATGTTTTAAAAACTGAAAATGACTAAAGAACTATTTGAGAAACACTTTTTCAAGAGGTTTGGCCACCCCTAAATCACTAACCTTATGGAATATTTAATGGAATATAGTGCCCTAGAGCATGGAGGTTACTCATGAACACCTGTGCTCAGCATATCCTATAACTGTCCACCTAACGGGAAATGCAGGGGGGCGCAAGGCTGGGAGCGACAGAGGGTCCTGGAACCTCAAAGTCCTCAGCCACATGAAAGCTTCCCATGGCTTCACTGTTTCCCTGAGCTGACTGCTTTATTCCTCCCAAGTATAACAGGCAAGGGGCGTGTCCTTCTCTAGTGAGATTTATGATGCAGTTCATGCTTTGTGATTTCTGTAGCCAAGAAGAACCCCGACCCAAACTGCCAGGAAGACCTGCTTAAAACCTAACGTGCTTAGACATATGGAACTAACCCTGAAAATAAAAACATCTTTATGCTAAGAGGAGTGGAGTTTTTTTAAATTAAAAAAAAGAATGTTTCTAGATATATCAGCTTTCCTTTGGGGCTTGCTTTCAGAATTCCTCAGCAGCTCAGGTTTACTGAGCATAGAGCATTCCACTTGCAGAGAAGGGCTGGGTTATGGGAACTCAGAATTTGTGCAACAGCCTCACCACACGTGAAGGAAAACCTCTAGAGGAATCACCAGCTACTCACGTTTCAAGATATTTCTTCTCTCCAGCTCTTCCACGGCAGGTCTTTGGCTCAGCCGTCTGCGGAAAAACACTAGAATTACATTTTGCACCATAGTGGCTGCCTGCAAATTCCACCTGGGGTCTGCAAGGATGAGAGGTGGCTGGCACACCCCTATAGATCGCCTCCCAAAATGGGGAGGAGAGAAAGTGAACCTTTGGTTGTTGCCTCTTGCTGGCAAAATCAAGTCAGACTTCCAAGTGAGAGTGAAAGCTGCCCCGTCACAGAGCTAATACTAGGGTAGTCCTTGTTCCAACTCCGCATGTGCAGGTCTTCATTCTTCTGATCTGTTGCCCAAATCTTGCCTGGTCTGGACTGTTCACCAGAGCAGTGTATTTAAGCATCGAGGAGATCTGTTCAGGAAATTCTTTTTCCTGCCCATTGGCTTAGGGAGGGGTGGGTAGCACCACCTGTTTTCAGGCTTCTAGATCCAGAGATGCTGGGAGATCCATGCTTCCCAGCACTGCCTCCGTTGTCAGCAGAGGAGACACCAGCCGTGGGAGCACTGATCTCTCCTTCCGGCTCTCTGCCTGCTGAACGGCTGAGTAGAGCCGCCTGTGCCCAGCCCAGCACAGGGGGAGTGTCTAAAGACGTCTAAGGGGCCTCCCGCCTCTTGTCAGCAAGCATAAAGCTCAGCTCGAGCGCTGAATAAAAACTGGGAATCTCTTCCAGCCAGCACAGCTAACAGAGCTGAGCCCACCCACACGCATTCCCCTCCCACCATCAGCGCAGACGGAGTGTGCGATATGAAGACAAATTATTATTTCTTTTTCAAGTGGTCTCTCATTGAAGAAGTTGGAGGATGCAGCCAACAACAGTCACCACCAAAAAACATAAAGGGCTTGTCAGGAGAAGGAGGCATCATTATCCGAAATTAATGCCAAGCTCTGATTATTTTTGTGACTACAATAATATTGTACTTGGGCCAGAGCCAGAAACCTTCCCACTTCCAGATCCTCTAACCACAGCAGGGAGACAACAGGGCCCAGTATTTGAACACCCAGAATTTAGGGCCATAATATTTTGCCCCGGCGAGGATGTAGGCTCCATTTAAAAATTATTTATCTCCTATTTATAATCCTTGTCCCAGCAGAAAGCCTAGGACGTTGCAGGACTCAACCACTCCTCCCTCCCCACTAGAACACAACCCTTTGTGGTTCTGCTCCCCCGGGGGCTTTGTCTTCTGGCTCTGTGGGTGGTTGCTTCCACATCATATCTCAATGTTCGGTGAGACTTGAACCTCCCCTCTGACAATTCCTGGCTGGAATCCTCCCCAGTCCCAAACAATGCATGCAAAGCCTAGCTCACTAAGTGTTGCTTCTGCAGTCCGGTCAAAACACCCCAAAGGCCATTCATTCAAGCACTCAGGAAATGACTGTGAAATATTTGCTCTGTGCCAGGCACTGTTCCAAGCCCCCAGAGCACAGTGCTGAATATGGGAAGACTCCCCTGCCCTTGGGAAGCTCATAGTCTACAGCAGGCTTGTCTAACCCGTGGCCTGCAGGCTGCATGCAGCTCAGGACAGCTTTGAAGGAGGCCCAATACAAATTCATAAACTTTCTAAAAACATACATTATGGGGTTTTTTTGCAATTACTTTTAGCTCATCACCTATCATTAGTGTATTTTATATGTGGCCCAGGGAAGCTGAAAGATTGGACACCCCTGGTCTAGAAGTAAAGGCAGACAAATGAACAAAATCATCTCAGAGAGTGGTCAATGCCATGGAGGAAATGGGGGATATGGTGGGTGAGTCGTTGGGCAGGGGCAGATACATTCAGAATATGGCAGAGATACATTTTGCTGAGACCCAGATGAAGAGAAGAAGCCAGTGTGGGAAGACCACAGCTCTCTCCACAGCGTCTCTTAACTGTTCACACACAGGGCTTAACCATTGAGGGAGTGAGGACGGGGGTGGGGTGGGGGGGGTAATCAAGACAGGCTTCATGGAAGAGGAAGCTTCTGAGAGAGTTATACCGAATCCACTTGGTACAGCACTGTCTGCAAGGGTCTTGAAGAAGGAATTAGGTTAAGGAAGAGAAATCATCAGGAAATTGGAGTTGTCTGTGGTCTCCCCTTAGAGCTGGGCACCCAGCGTTAGCTCGCTTCTCAACGTATCTGAGTCTCTGTAAACAGGGAATGGCAAGAGAACCTGACAGCCACTTTGTCTGGATAAAGATGGGGCAGGCCACCATAGGAAAAGCAGAAACAAGCCAGATCCCCTGGCCCCAGTGCTGCCCACAGAAGGGCTCGGAAGCATGAAGGAGATGGGATGCAGGGCGAAGGCACACAGGCACTTTTAGAGCAAATAGAAATGAAAAATCCCTGAAGCCCAGCAAGAGTGGGTGCACCATGTCTTTTACCCATGAAAAGGTACTTCCTTTGCAGAGCTCCTCTGGCTAAGAGGGAGAGGCTGTGTGTAGGAATGGGATTCTGGGAAGTAAAACGTGGAGTCCTAATAAGTAAGCAACAATGAGGAAGGGGTCCTAGTTGGGGGAGAATAATTGTTCTGAGAGCCGGCTAATCACAGACAACCCACTGGCATGACATCCTCTTTCCAAATATCTTGTTCCACTCGAGGCCTCAGCAGCACGACCTTATCTGCACATAAGGCCCTCTGGCACAACCCTATAAAACTTCCTTCCAGCCCCTGCCTCTTTGCAGGCAGCCCCTTCTCTGCTGTGCTGCCCATTGCACCCTTGCAACGGATCTTCATACTTTCTCTAATAAATTTGCCTTTCTTTACCTACAACTGCCTTGATAAACTCTTTCACTGTCCGCGATGCTGGCCCCAGCCATTTGTATTTTATGTGTGGCTCAAGACAATTCTTGAGCCAGCTGCCCAGCCAGGAACACCCATGGGGACACCTGAGGAGTGAGGCTGTGCATTTCCTCAAATCTGAGAAGTACTCCGAATGCCCCTGGAGGCTGGTGTCCACTGGCATGGCCCCCAAACAAGGCTTTTCCCCTCTTTGTTGGAACCTTATCTTTCTCATCTAAAATGAAAATTAGTACCAGACCCTCTCAATGAGAATTAAATGAGATAATGCACAAAAATGTTTGTGACAATGCATGCTTGGGATATAGTAATTTCTCAAGAAAACCCAACCTGTGACTTGCCAGCTGGTCGTGGACCATGTTCCCAGAAAGGCATTTCATCCAATTGATACATCTCAGGAAAGCGTGGACATCAAACCAGCAAAAACTGCGCAATTGGTCCCAAGGCACAGAGGCAGTCTGGTGGTCCAGTCGCTCACTGTAGGGCTTCATCTAGCTGCCAAGCTTCTCTCTGAATGTCACCAGGGCACCCCTGAATGGTCTAGAATATGCAGTCCTCTGGATGGACACAGCCCCGGAGGCACAGGGTTGTCAACAGAGCAAAAGGGTGCTCAGGCCAGGACCTCACTGGCTTGTCACCAACCCGCCTCTCTACCCATAGAGTGCCAGGACCCCACAGCTGGAAGGGTGGATGCAGAGCCCCAGACAGCACTGTGGGCCCCAAGACCCTCCCTGTGGTTACCAGCAGAGGGGATTGAGGTGAGCAAGAAGACCCCTGATTGCCAGGTGAGGGTGCTGAGCAGGGTCTTAGGGTGGTGCTGCCAACCCAACAAGGCCAGGCCACTGTTGAGACTAGGCTGTAACCTGGACATGAATGTCTTCCCAGAAGGTGATACTTTAGTTGGGATCCAGAGGATGATTGGGGATCGCTAGGTGAGGAGAGGACATGTGCAAAGGTCCTGAGGTGGGGTCATTTAGATTGCATGGAGGTGTGTGTGCACCGAGTCTGAGCAGGGGCAGGATGCACACAGCCTGGCACCCCTGGAGAGGGAGTCTGGATTCACTCCTGGAACCCCAGAGCAGCACTGAAGGATTTAAAGCAGACCGGGGTGAGACGGGGTATGAGTGTGCCAGGACTAGATTTGCATTTGGAAACACTTCCAGATTTCTGTCCAACAAAGACAGAGACGAACCCACTAGCAAGAGACACGGACCTGCCCAGACCCCCACCAGATACCAAGGACACAGTGTGCTGCAGGCCTGTGAGGGGCCCCTGAAATGCTCAAGACTTGGGGAAGAAGTTGGCCATATGGCAAAAACACCCCACACTCCAAATTAATACTTGTTACCCTAAGTATATATAAAAGATACCCTTTTGTCCACCTGCTACCTGAAGCTATGCTAACTCTTCATGCAGAGTCGGGGCTTCCAAAAGGAAAAATGGCGACGAGCCTGATGCCAAGGACAGACAATTACTTTGCCAACATTACAGGCGAGACCCTTGAGGCTCAGAGAGAGAAGAATGTGATCAGCAGCTACTACGGCTGGAATCAGAACCCACAGCAAGTTCCAGATGCGAGGAGGACCGAGGCACAGAGGAACCCCAGCAGCACCGGCTGGCAGGAACCAGCCAGCAGGGACACAGCTGGGATGAGGCCCAGGAAGCATTCTCCCAGCACAGAGAGTCGGGTTCAGGCAGAAGCATGCATCACAGGTCACCACCCCTGCCCCACAGCATGCTGGCCCCTATCTGACACACAGTCACCACTCAGGCCAGGGTGGCCCAGGATATTTTCTGGGCAGAACCATGGCCAGGAGAAGGGCAGTCAGGTTGAATGAGTCATGAAGCTCTGCGAGAGCAGACCCCTAGAGCCAGTGCAGCCAAGGGGAGCCGCCTGTGTCGAGGAGCAAAGGAATGGGCGCCGGTTCCTCCCCCTCACTACACAAGCCTGCTTGGACCTGCCTGGGGCAGGGATGCCGCCAGGGCTTCCTGGGCTCTGAGCTTCAGGATCAAGGTGCTCTCCGAGGAGCCACAAGAGACGTGGCCGGAGCACAGCTGCGCTTTGGCAGCTGCAGAAGGCCTTGTGGAGGGGTGGGGCAGGGCAGGTGGGAGTGCAGAACCCCTGTGGGATTCCCCAACCCTCCCCACCCTCTGCAGCCACTCGAGACTCCTGATTCAGAAATGGGGTGACGTCCTGGTGCTGCCTGGAGCTGGGGAAGCCACAGTCTATTTCTGACTCTCC